AGGCTGACGTTTCGGGCCTAGACCCTTCATCAGAAAATAGGCCCGAAACGTCAGCCTTTCTGCTCCTATGATGCTGCTTGGCCTGCTGTGTTCATCCAGCCCTGCACCTTGTTGTCTCTATCATTGAGGCAAGTTGTGCTGTAAGAAAGCAATTGCCGAGCAATAATTCCCATCAATTGGCAATTTGCTGCTACCTAGTGAGAAACTTGGCAAATGCAAAAAAGATGCATTGAATTGCTCCTGATATTGGGACGGGCCTCACTGAAATTGTCACATGATCTAGCCACAACCATAGCCCATTATATTAGTTCGGGCTACTATAAAAATCCACCCTATTGCTTTATGACATTCTTCCTGACAATATTCTGCTGATTTAAGAAGTGATTCACCCATTTATTTTATATATGTACAGGAGTTTTAAATAGCAATGATGTGATATAATGATAAACATTGATATCATGGGGATTCATTTAGAAACATTTTCAGATTCCTTACAATCACACCAATCATACTTCAGATCTTTACCTTCGCACTGTGTTCCTGGGTTTGCTGGATTGGTATCCATTGTTCCTGCTAAACAGCTACACGTGAAATTCCCTGGAGTATTTGTACAGGAAGCTAATGCAGAGCATGTGCTGTTCCCAGTCTGACACTCATCAATGTCTGAAACAAGAAATAGATCAAAACTATCAGTAGAAGCAAAATTTACTTCAACTGATAGTTTCAAATCATGTTAAATTTAGGAAATAGTGTACCTTCACAAATCCTTCCTGGTGTACTGGGGCTTGTGTCATTGAACCCAACATTGCATTGACAAGTGTAAGTTGCGTTCAGTCTTATACATGTTCCATTGCCTGAACAGTCATTGAGCCCTGGTTGGCAGCTGTCTCTCTCTGTAACAAGACATACACAGACAAAAATGATTGAAACCTTCTTAGTGCTGAAATACCTGACCGTTGCTTGATAACTTTCAGCGTTTGCTTTTCATCCAGCTTTGACATGTTCCCTGTACTCACTTGAGGCTGCTTAATTCACTAGAAGATAAATCTGGGTAGTTTCAGTTTAGTTTTCCAACAAAAGGAAGCACAGTTTGAAAAATATCTCCGTAAGGTCAAATGCACTGTCATTAAATTGAAAATTTCGGAGATTCAACAAATTACAACATAATATCTTTGGTATATTGGAAAATGACAAATTAATTTCCAGGTGCATGATCAAACAAAATTTGATGCTGAGCCACATGAAGAAATGTCACGCCAAGAGATCAAAGATAGGTCTATAGCTAGGTTTGAAGGAAAGAAAGAATGGTAGAGAGACGAAAAAGGTCTGAGAAGGAATGCCAGTGCTTAAGAACCAGGCAATTGAAGCCATGTCAGCCAATGAGCAAGCAATCAAAATTGGAGATGTGTTCATGTCCAGAATTAAAGAAATGGTGTGATCACAGAGGACTGTCTGTGCTGTGATAATTCCAAGAAACAAGAGCAATGGAGAGGAGGGGTAAGGCATGAAAGTGGAGTTGAAATCACAACCAGGTCAACTATAACCCTATTAAATACCAGAGCATTCTCAATGGACTAGAGTTTCCTAAATCCTATATTTTGAAAACACTTCTGACTTAAAGTCTAATCCATTGACCACGTGTTCTAGCCGATGGCAAGCCTCAGAGCTGGCCAATATACTATAACTGAGTTGTGATGTTCTGGCAATTGGTTCAATCAACATTTATTCACCATATTGAACGAGATCTCTTTCAACTAAATCATGTCAACTTTGGCAACAAAACTAAACATATCAGGCCCTATTTATTTCCTCCTCCCATCTGCAAATTTACTCTGTTATGATCATGTCTAATTGGGCTATCTGCTATTCAAACTCATTCTTTGTCAAACCTGAAGAGTTTTTGGTTTTAGCTTCATTTCAATTGATGGCTATAAGATCTCAAAACCCAAGCTTGGCTTCCATCCACTATGACTCCACCTTGCCACTTTTCACTCCATTTTTAGATTGGTTGAAAGATGGTGCCCTCTCATGTGGCTTTTGCAACTTAAAAAGGACATGGTGCTTGACATTTTGTCAAGTTTTATCAAGTCAATGGTTGAAAGGCTAGTATTTGCATTCCTTACCTGTGATACTTGTATTTTGAAGATCCACGTTGAACCTTTCGCTGGTGTTTAAGGATGTAGTGAGCACATCTGAAACTGTGGCTGTAGGGGCAGTCACATTTGTTGACACTGCAACTGTAAAATTCACAAGTATGCTTCCACTTCTAATGGAATTAATTTCAATTCTAAGCCTTCCTCTTCCGTGTAATTCCCTGAAATTTTCATTGAATCCACGCACCAGCTGAAAAAGAAGACAAATATCTATTTCCAGTAAATGTCTCTTTTATTCCCATAGCATATAAGCATCACAAAAAGCCTTCTAATGTTGGAAGATTCACAGACAACACTTCCCACAGTCAGCTTAATTCTAATGCAGGAAATTGGAGGACTTCTTAGTTCTGTTTCAACTGATTGCATGTTTGTCTGAGAGTTGCAAAGTTACTGGTTCAAAAGCAAAGCCAGTTGTGGGCATACAACTTCAGTATATTAATAATAGGGTGTGAAATGACAGAAAATTTTGAGAGAGAGTTAGTTGCAGTTTATCAGTGTCTGCATGGATGACAATGATTTAAGTGAAATGAATGAAATGCAGAACTTCACCAAGCTTCCTTTGACAGCATCTTCCAAACGCACAACCTTTCTCTTTTAGAAGGACAAGGCCAGCAGATACAGGGGGAACACCGCTTGCAATTCCCCCTCCAAGCCATTCATGATCTTCACTTGGACATATATCACCATTCCGTCAGTGTTGCTGGGTCAAAATTCTGGACTTCCCTCCCCATTATCATTGTGGGTGTGCCTATACCAAAACGACTATGGTTCAAGAAGGTAACAACTTCTGAAGATAACAAGATTCGGGGTTTAAATGCTGGCCTAGCCAACAATGCCCACATCCCATGAATGAAAAAAATCTGAAAAATATCATTATGCTGTTTGATTTCAAGCAAGGAATTACCATCCCAATATTTTTATTATTTTATGACTGTTGTTTTGCGGGGATGACTTCTTGCTGGACCTCAATCTGTAAACCTTGGCTAAAAAGCACTTTACTTTGTGGGAAAAGTACTCTTCGGAATAACTGTGCTGTGATGTTATTTTGTTATGCTTACCAGCTGGGAGATAAATGGGGATATAGAAGGATAAGTGGGGTGTAGCAGATATCTCACCTATTGTGGAATTTGCACAGTATTTTGTTTTCTTTTATTATAAACTGTCTTTGACATCAATAGAAAACTGAAACGCTAAGCTATCTGTTCTCACCACAGACACTGATCAAATTGGTGGTGGCCAAGTGGGAAACATTCTTTTATCTGAAGAGATGATTGTGAGTTTAAGTGGGGAGACGATGGCCTAGTGGTATTATTGCTGGACTGTTAACCCAGTGACCCAGGTAATGTTCTGGGGCACCTGGGTTTGAATGCTGCCACAGCAGATGGTGGAGTTTGAATTCAATAAAAAAATTTCTGGAATTAAGAGTCTAATGATGACCCATGAATCCATTGCCAACTGTTTGGAAAGTAGTCTCATTAATGTTCTTTAGGGAAGGAAACTGCCATCCTGGGCTGGTCTGGCCTACATGTGACTCCAGACCTACAGCAATGTGGTTGACTCTTAACTACCCTCTGGGCAATAAATGCTGGCCTAGCCAGCGACACCCTTATCTTGTGAACAATTAAAAGTCCCACTAATAAGACTTTAATCCAGGTGGATCCTTTGGTGCAGTGCTATGGGAATGCAATATTATCGATGGCGCTGTTTTTTGGTCATAAAGCAGAATTGGAGTGCTGGTAACAATTTTCCCTATATACCAGGGAGTTCGGAAGAGGATTGGAAATGGTAAATACCTCAAGCTGATTTCCAAATGAAAGTTTTCCTTAAGATTTTCAAGGAGAGATTCTGAAACACAGAGTAAGGCCTCTCAGTAGACAAGCGATAATTACAGTGTGGCTAAATGTTGCACAGGTAATATTAAAATCATATAAGAATACAAACATGTGAACAAGAAGCAGGATAAGGCCATTTGATCCCACAGGTCTGCTCTGACATTTATGAGATGAAGGTTGATCTGATTGTGAGCACAAATCCACATTCCTGCCTATCCCAATGACCTTTCACATTCTTGCTTACAAAGAATCTATCAACAACTTCCTTTAACATACACAGACCCTGCTTCCACTGTTTCAAGGAGAGAGTTCATGACCTTGTGTGATGATGGAATCATGGGCTAACAACTTATCATGAATAAAAGGTGGGGCCCAAAGTGGTTTTTCCCTCCTAACAGAAGAAATCACTTACGTCAGCAATGAAATTCCTTTCAAAGTCTTTGAACGTCTGGCTTTGTTTGTCTTCAAGATCTCTGTCAAATTGCACATTTGTAATTCTTGTTGATACTTCCAGCACAATGGCAACTTTGAAAAGAAAGATAAGCTATTTGCATAATTATAAATTTGATCCATATGAACATATAAACTTAAGACTTCGGAGTTGGAGAAGACCACTTGGCCCCTCAGGTCTGCTCTGCCATTTAATAACATCCACATTTTTGCCTCCCTCTGATAGCCTTTTACCCCCTTGTTTATCAAGAATCTACCCGTCTGTTCCTTAAAAAGTTTCATTCATTGCCTCATGAAACTCTGTGAGAGAAAAAAATTACTCTACCTCAATTTCAAATGGCCAGCTCCTTAATTTTAAACAGCAACACTAATTCTAGATTCTTCTACAACAGGAAAGATACTCCCCACATGAATCATAGAATCCCTACAGTGTGGAAGCAGACCATTCAGCCCATCAAGTCTACACCAACTCTCCAAAGTACATCCCACCCAGACTTACCCCATTCCCATAAACCTGCATTTCGCACGGCCAATCCACCTAACCAGCACGTCTTTGGACTGTGGGAGCAAACACAGACGCAGGATAAATGTGCAAACTCAACACAGTCATCCGAGGCTGGCATCAAACCTAGGTCCCTGGCACTGTGAGACACCATGCCAGCCACAACATCTAGCTCTCAGGAGGAAAACAAGAGTTTTGCTTTTATTTGAATCCCCACCATTGTATTCAATTCCCCTCACAATATTGTCACCGTATTGTGGCACTCTTTTGTCTTAATTCAAAAGAACAAAAGAGAAGTACAGCACAGGAACAGGCCCTTTAGCCCTCCAAGCCTGTGCTGATCATCATGCCCTGACTAAACTAAAAAACAAACTGCACAATACTCTAAATGCGGCCTAACAAGGGTTTTATATCGCTGCAACATGGTTTACCAACTCTTGTACTCCATGCCCCAACTGATGAAGGCAATCATGCCATATGCCTTCTTCATCACCTTGGCCATTTCTGTTGCGACTTTTAGGGAACTGTGGACCTGCACGTCCAGATCCATCTGTATGTTAATGTTCCTAAGGTAGACTCCTTATGAAGCAAATGTGCTATAGTCCTGACAGACTATAGGGTTGGTCTGTCTCTTTCATCAGAGAGAGATGACTGGTGGTCTTTTAACCTGAGAGTCACCACACCTCAGTCGGGGAAAGAGGCTGAGAAGGAGGGTCCTTCACCATAACCTCAGCTATTGAAGGAATTGAACCCACACTGTTAGCATCACTCTGTTCACAAACCAGCCATCCAGCCAACTAAGCTGTTTGGAAACCGGCCACTTGTCCCACTTATATCCTCTCAACCAACAAAGAGACATTGAACAAACTTGGACTGTTTTCACTACAGCATCAGAGGCTGAGGGGACGACCTGATAAAAGTATAAAATCATAGATAGATTGTTGGAGTCTTTTTGCCAGGGTTGAAGTGTCAAATACTCAGGGGGCCACAGGTTCAAGGTGAGAGGGGGAAAGTTTAAAGGAGATTTGTGAGGCAAGTTTTTTACATAGAAGATGGTAGGTGCCTGGAATGCAGTCCCAGGGGAGGTGGTAGAAGCAGATACAATATCAATGTTTAAGAGGTATTGAGGCAGACATTTGAACAAGTAGAGAATAGAGGGTTACGACCATGTGCAGGCAGATGGGGTAAGGTTAGAATAGCATCATGGCTGGCATAAACAGTGGACCAAAGGGCTGGTTCCTGTACTTGACTGTTCTATGTTCTATATACAGTGACGGCAGCTGCCAATTTCAAAAGGGGCAATGGCCTGGCAGATCACTGTGGGGATCTAATTCACAAAGAAGACCTGAACAATGCTGAATGGTGACTTTTTCAGTAATTTGTTCCAATACTGGACCACTCTTCCATCGTTCCAAGCTCAGACTTGCAAAGTGCCGCCAATCCCTACTCCACCCACTGTACAACTGCCCTAGTGCACGACACCCATGGAGTCCTGCTTCACAAATCAGTTTTACATTTTGGAAGCTGATGAGGGTGCTGGTTCCTCAAAGGAATGCAATCTGACACCACGTGTGGCCCCACTGTACAGGACGAAAGTTCCACAGAACATCAATATTCCACTCCCCCACCTCCACACCCTGCCTTACTAGTACCCCTCCAGACTTCCCCCCACCCCCACAACAGAACCAAGGCTAGCCTTGGCTGGGTGCTGCAATTAAGGAAAAACAGCAGCTTTAATTCATATTAAGATCCCTAGGCCTGGTCTAAGGAGTAAACATAGTTTTGCAACTGAAGCTAAATAAATGATGTGTGAATGTTCCATATTCTTGATTTAATTGCAGTTAAAGAACTTAAAAACATGCAAAACAAGGAAGGTTAATCATCCACGACCCACCCATCGTTGTTTTAATGAGGACTTCCACCCTTTTCACTTTCCACTCTAATTTACAACATTCTCACATGTAACAATACCAAGGAAAAAAGAATACAAACGTCAAAAATTCCTTTGCCCCACTTCAAGCAAACCCAGTCTGCAATGGAATTGCATGTTGCATTGTTCATCTAATTGTCAGCAATGTTAATCCCGATTTAAAACAATGAAATCCGGAGCTAGTACTCTGTACCCAGCTTTAGGAACCCGTTATAAAGGGCAATCATTATCCGTTGTAAGCAATTGCAACATCAAGCGTTGAGAAACCCACCTGTCCTGACTGTACGTGTGAGAGACTGCATTTGACCACATGTTGTTGTTTGAATAATGATGCGATATTCAACGTCAGGCCTGAGGTTTCTCAATTCAGCTGCTTTTTCCTGAGTTTCCATACGCTCCACTTGAGTATTCGACTGTACTTCAATAATTGTGACAATAAAAATCACCTGCTCGACTGCATTGTTTGCAACCCAGGTAATGGAAATGACTTCACTTTGAACAGATATCAAATTAATACGAATGAAATTCAGTGGCTCTGTACAAAAAAAAACACACAAGATTGTCTGAAATGAAACATCAGCATTTAATCTTTGTCAGGCAAAACAATCCATTTTTCTTAAATTCACTGTCACCTTATAGGGCATAGATTTAAAGCAATGTGTAAACGGAACAAAGGTGATGCGAAAATAAAAGTCTTTTTCACACAGTGCGTAGTTGAGCTGAGTAGTTAGGGTCTGGTATTGAATGGTTATTTGGATATAAAAAGCTGGCACAGATATGGGAAAAGGGCAGGAGACTGGTATTAACAATAGAGCCGCGGGCAGGTGTTTTTAAATTCACTCGTGGGATATGGGCATCACTGGGTGGGCCAGCATTTACTGCCCTTGAGAAGGTGGTGCTGAGCTGCCTTCTTGAACCGCTGCAGGCCACGTCCTGCAGGTAGACCAACAATACCTTTAGGGAGGGGATTCCAGGATTTTGACCTTGTGACACTGAAAGAATGGGAAAGTCAGAATGATAAGTAGCTTGGAAGGGAACTTGAAGGCAGTGGTATCCCATGTGTCTGTTGCCCTTGTCCTTCCAGATGGAAATGGTCTTTGGTTTGGAAGGTGCTGTCTGAGGATCTTTGGTGAATTTCTGCAGTGCATCTTGTAGATAGTACACACTGCAGCTACTGAGCATCAATGGTGGAGGGAGTAGCTGCTTGTGGATGTGGTGCCAATCAAGTGGGCTGCTTTGTCCTGGATGGTGTCAAGCTTCTTGGGTGTTGTTGGGGCTGCACCCATCCAGGCAAATGTGGACTATTCCATCACACTCCTGACTTGTACCTTGTAGATGGTGGACAGGCTTTGAGGAGTCAGGAGGTGAGTTACTCACCACAGTATTCCTAGCCTCTGAGCTGCTCTTATGGCTATTGTAGTTATTTGGTGAGTCCAGTTGGGTTTCTGGTCAATGGTTGTCCCTAGGATGTTAATAATGAGGGATTCAGTGATGGTAAAACCATTGAATGTCAAGGGCCAGTGATTAGATTGTCTCCTATTGGAGATGATCATTGCCTGGCATTTTATGAGTACGAATGTTTCTTGCCATTTGTCAGCCAAAGCCTGTATATTATCCAGATCTTGTTGTATTTGACCACAGACTGCTTCAGTATCTGAGGAGTCATGAATAGTGCTGAACATTGTGCAATCATTGGCGAGCATCCCCACTTCTGACCTTATGATGGAGGGAAGGTCATTGATGAAGCAGCTGAAGATGGTTGGGTGTAGGACACTACCCTGAGGGACTCCTGCAGAAATATTGACTGACCTCCACCAACAATGACCATCTTTCTATGTGTCAGGTATGATTCCAACCAGTGGAGAGTTTGCCCCTTGATTCCAATTGATTCCAGTTCTGGCCACCTTCTGCACCACTGTCATTCTGTGATCAACTTAAAATATCATCCTTCTCAGTAAATAAGTTTAATTTAATAATTTAAAGTGCAGACTGCAATTAACGTTCTTTTCAATATGGTTAAAAATACAAGCACAGGAAGATGTGATCCATCATTTAAGACAGATATGAGGGAATTTCTTCTGCCAGAGGGCACTGAATCTTTTGGGATTGGTTTATTAAGTATATTCAAGGCTGAGATGACCGATGTTTAACCTTCAAGGGAAGCAAGGGTTATGGGGTAAAGGTAGGAAGGTGAAGTTGAGGATTATCAGATCAGCCACAATCTCATTGAATGGAGGTTCAGGCTTAATGGGCTGAATGGCCTACTTCTGCTCCTACATCTTATGATCTTGCCATCCCAAACTGGTCAATCCTATATGTTCATCCTGCATTATGATGGACACCACACAATCCTGCTTAAATGCAAAAGGAAAGTGTTGGCAAGTAAAATCTCAGTGCACCATCCAATCTTGCTACCTGTAATAATTGATGATAAATCACTTTTCTTTCTGGAAAATTCTAAACAGTTCAGCTGATGAAACAGTAAGGTTGCACTTCTTATCTATTGATCTCAATCTTTCAGTCAGTTGGCTTTTTCGAAGAGTATGAATTGATGCACATCAAAAGGCCTTCAGTATTAAAAACATCCGCCCCACCAATCACAAATACGTGCAGGCATATTCTGTTCATCACCTGGTCACCCAACCCATAGAATGAGCCATGTGATGCTTTATTTCTGTGATTTAGTTGCAGTAATCTGCAAAATATCATGATGTAAACACATTTTGTTCGATGCTCAATCATTTGTCCTATAATTAGAGGGAGCCAGCATATATTGTTATAATATATATTGTTATAATAAATATTACTCAGGCAACTTACCACAGGACGCAGAGGTCACAGCGATGTTAGGAACAGTTGTTGTGGTGAGGGTGGTGGGTGTGGTGGTGAGGGTGGTGGGTGTGGTGGT